CCGCTGCCCCTCGGGGATCAGGAGCTGATGTAGCGGGGAGCCCTGGACAGCTTCGGCTCAGGGCTCTTCCCTGGCCCCGTAGATTTCTGGGGGATTGGCCCCTTCCCCAAACCCCACAGGAGAGACCGTCACCCCCACAGCCCCTCACTGGAAGGAGATTCACAGGGGATAGTTTGATCCCCTCCCCCAGGGATCTCCAGGGCACAGGTGGCTGCATTTCTTTGCTCCGGTTCACACACGCACCGAATCCCTCTATCCCCCTCCCAAGGCAGCTCCGTGCCCAGCAGGGCTTCTGCTCTCTCTGCAGGGCTAGGAACGGCCCAGCGACTCCCTGAGCCATTCGGGCCCTCACTGTGTGTTGAGATCCCTGACTCCTTTACAGGGGGCACAGCCCATCGCCCCCCAGGCATCACCCTACCCCAAGGGTCCCTGTGAACATATCCCCCCAGCAGAGAACAGGGTCGGGCTTAAAACAAGGGTGTGTTCTCTGCCCCGAGCCCTCCAGGGAGACTTCACCAAGCGCCACCTCTCCTGTTTCCTTCCCCCGAGCAGGATTCCCTGTCCCCGACCGGGCCGTGATCTCCTGCATGGAGCGAGGGGAAGAGCCGAGGGTCCCGGATCTCCAGGACTCCAAGGAAAGGGAGATCCTGAGAGGTGCCCACATAGGTGAGGAATGAGCGACACCGGCTCGGAGACCATCCGGGAGTAAAGGGAAAAGCTGGGATCCCAGCAAAGCTGCCGGGAGCCCCCCAGTTCTGTTTGATCTCCCTTAGTATTGTCCCCAGCAGGCACCTGTCCTCATGGCAGGTGTCACTCCTGGACCCCAGCAAAGCCACCGGGAGCTGCCCCTGAGTTCTGAACAGCAGTTCCCAGCCCCCAGGATTTAGGAGAGTCTGTCCATGTCTTTTGCTCTTTGCACAATAGCAATAATCTGAAGAATCAACTCAGGCCCAGCTTGGCCCAGTGTAACCACCCGGACTAATTACACACAGATGGCGAAGCCCGGCTAGGGGCATATTACACCTCTGGTGGCTTCTAAAACACACAGTGTACGCCTCTAGAGGGCTCACATGCTGTAGTCCACGAAAGCTTATGCTCTAATAAATTTGTTAGTCTCTAAGGTGCCACAAGTCCTCCTGTTCTTCTTTGTGCAATTCCTGTACATCATAGAGATAACTGGAATCTCTATGCAGCCAGGTGGGACACATTGGGGTCAGCACAGATTGTGAAGGGAAAGAGCCCCTGACTGAGCCCCGCCTTCGCTCCTGGCAACACAGTGCCCCCTGTCGCTGCATTGGGCCAGCACTGACTGTAAGGTGAGGGCATGCCCTAGTGAGCCCCCAATCCTGCTCCCAGCAGCACAGCGCCCCCTAGTGTCGCACTGGGGTCAGTGCTGATTCAGCTGGTCCTTCCCTCAGTAGAGCAGGTGGCTGATGTTACAGGAGAGATTCGTTCCTAGAGTTGGGGGACAGGACCCCAAAGCTAGCTAGCAGTGCTTGAGAGGCTTGCATGGGAAGAGGCCAAGAGCCCCTGAGCCAGCCAGTCCCCCCCCATCCTGGGCAATTTTTAAATCAAGTTTGGACGTTTTTCTAAAAGATCTGTGCTATTTCAAACAGGAAGTAATTTGGGGACGTTCTCTGGCCTGTGCTCTCTAGAAGGTTAGACTAGATGATCTCTTCTAGCTTTAGAATGTATGAAGCTATGAATTTTGGACCTTGGTAAAATTATGATTCCCGCCTGGATTCTCTCTCTCTCTCTCTCTCTCTCCCAGCAGGTGCCGGGAGAGAGAAGGAGAATTCCCAGCAGGAAGGGCCTGCAGGAGCGGAGCTGAATGGGACGTCCCGGAGCCCTGAACGGGGAGATGGCGGCAGAACAGGACGGCAGCGGGCAGACAAGGAGCCAGGGTGCAGGCGCAGGAGGGCACGGCCCGTCAACTGCGGGGATTGTGGGAAAAGCTTCATGAAGAACTCAGAGTTAATCAAACACCAGCGCACGCACACGGGTGAGAGGCCCTACCAGTGCCCTGACTGCGGGAGGTGCTTCGCCATCCGCTCCAGCTTGGATCGCCACCAGCGGGTCCACACCGGCGAGCGGCCCTTCCCCTGCACCCGCTGCGGGAAGAGCTTCAAGCTTAGCTCGGCCCTGAGCCGGCACCGGCGCGTCCATGCTCAGGAGGGGCCCTGTTTCTGCGCTGAATGCGGCAGGGGTTTCAGGCACAGTGCTGCACTAACCCAACACCAGGCTGAGCACCTGAACCATGGAGACCCCACCAACGGACCTGTGGGGACACGGGTCTACAAGGACCCCTTTGTCCAGGCACGGGACCTCGAGGGGGAGGCTGGTGGGATGTGGTATGCTGAGCCTGTGAAAGAGGAGAGTGGGTGATGGGATCTGCACTTGGGTTGTGGGTCTGGGCAGGAGACACTGGAGTGAGAAGAGAGCAGCTATAAGGAATGCAGGGACTGAACCTGTGATCTGTGGATCTAACATCTGGAGCTGGGCTGTGAGGCAGTGTGGTCTAGTGCAGTGGTTCTCAACCAGGGGTAAACGTATCCCTGGGGGTAGGCAGAGGTCTTCCGGGGGTACATCAGCTCATCTAGATATTTGCCTAGTTTTACAGCAGGCTACATGAAAAGCACTCGCAAAGTCAGTACAAACTAAAATTTCATACAGACAGAATGAGAAAGTCAGCAGTTTTTCAGTATTCGTGCTGTGACATATTTGTATTTTTATGTCTGATTTTGTAAGCAAGTAGTTTTTAAGTGGAGGTGAAACTTGGGAGTTTCACGCAAGACAAACCAGACTCCTAAAAGGGGTCCAGTCGTCTGGGAAGGTTGAGAAGCACTGGTCTAGTGGACAGAGCACTACATTAATACTTCTGGCTTAGTCTCTGGCTTGCTGGGTGATCTCAGGCAAGTAACGGCCACCCCTGTGCCTCAGTTTCCCCATCTGCAAAATGGAGACAATGATACTGTAAAGTTCTTTGAGATCTTCTAATGGAAATCACTAGATAAGAGCTGGGCATAATTATAATGGCTGAAAAATTTTCATTTAAACTTTATTTGGATGAAGTGTTGGATTTTTGATTAAATGAAGTTTTTCCATGAAAAGTGTTCGCATTCCATGGAAAATGTTGAATTTTGTTTGTTAAAGAAACAGATCCCCGAAAACAGAAAAATTTAAGCTGGAAACTGAAATGTTTCAATTTGTGTCTGTGCCCTAGTGCTTCCTGAGAGTTGTGGTTTGGTTGTACTCTACAGACTACATATCCCATGATGCACTACTTCCCAGCTCCTAGGGGTGACCATAGTGCATCATGAGAGATGTAGTCCAACCAGGTAGGCCACTGCCAGCCAGCCCATGGAAGAGAATGGGAGCACGAGGCACCAAAACTACAACTTCCGTGAAGCATTTCCAAATTTAATTTTTTTGTTTTGGCTGAAATTTTCCAATTTTTGCTGAAAAAAACAAAATTTTCCTTGAAAAATATAGGCAAGTGATTTTTCCTCCTTTTCTCATCAAAAACTTCAGGGGAGGAGAAAAAAACCCAAAACATTTTCCATTGAGCTCTTCCCACAGTCACCTTTGGCCTGCGCTAATGGACCAGGCCTGTTAGCTGGGAGGCAGTAGAGTAACCCACTGGTGATGTGTGTCATAGCTCCCCCCCGTCCCTGATCCACAAAGGATACAAGTCTGTTACAGCCCTGGTTAAAGGGGGTTTGGTCTTTGCTATAACAGCTTATACTTTTCTATTTTGAGGTCACTGGTGCAATCCTGGATAGGCTGACTGACATTAGCAGCTGTGTGATGTGAATAAGCCACAAAGCAGTTGATGGAGGAAAAAGTGAGGCTGATTGTTTTGCTTCACAACAAACACCTCCAGGAATTACTGCAGCCCTCAAGGTGCAAACTGCCCCAGAATGGGGTTCATTTCCCCCTGTTCTGCCCCTTGCTCAGCAGGAATCATTAACCATCTCACACACGGATTCCTGGCTCTGCCACCAACTTGCTATGTGACCTTCAGCAAATCATTTTGCCACTGTCTCCCCTCCTATTCCTTGTCTTATTTAAACAGTGAGCTTCTTGGGGCAGGGACTGTCTCTCACTGTGTCTGTGCAACACCTGGCATGATGGGGGTCCTGATCTCGGTCAGGCCTATGCAGTGCCTGGCATGATGGGGGCCTGATCTCAGTGAGGGTATGTCCAGCGCCTGGCACATGGGGGGGCCCCTGATCTCAGTGATGACCCTTTGCACTAGTAATATAAATAATAACTTACAAATCCATCCTGATCCCTAAGATTAGAGCCTTCATGATTCACATCCCCAGCCTGGCTTTGCATTGTCTATACCTAGAGGGGAAGCTTTATTTATGTTAGTATTCCTGTTTGTCTATTCTTCTCTTTCATTTAAGAGTATCTGGGTAAATTGGAGCTTGGCTCAGGATTTGATGCATCTGGAGAGGAGTGGTTACTGACTCTGGCTTGAGAGATGTGAGTTTCCTACCTTGTTACAGAGACAGAAAGGGTGGAATATGTTACGTCTTGAAGGCACTGGAGAGATCAGGACTCCTGGGTTCTATCTCCAGCTCTTGCAAGGGATCGTGGCCTAGTTGGTTAGAGCAAGAGGACAGGGAGTGAGGACTTGTAGGCATTCTGGTTGTGATGTGCTGTGTTAAACTTTAAAAGTCATTTCTATCAGTACCTCACTTTCCTCATCTATAAACTGAGAGTGATAAAACCAACCTTCTTCCATGCAGCAGTTTGAGAGCTATGGCTGAAATGTTCTAAGTCTGTGTAAAATAAATGCTCTGTATGTGTTACGTGGTCCTAGGTTTAAAACACCATGGCTCTTCTGTGTGTGTGTGTGTGTGTGTGTGTGTGTGTGTGTGTGTGTGTGTGTGTGTGTGTAC